TTATCGTTCTCTTTCGGTTGTGCCTTCCTGATTCCAAGCACACCTTTCTTTCCTGTTGGATGGGTAAAGAATCTGGGGAGAAGGTGATGTGCAGACTCGCTGTGTGTAGTATAGTAGGTAGGTCGGTAGGTAATGGTAGGGGTAACAGTAGGGTTTTCGTTCGGCTAACGGCTATTGTTGCATTGCGACCACCCTTGGTGTTCGCCTTGAATGGAGCGAGGTGGCTGCAATATCCTCTCTTTGTTTGTTGCTGCCGTGACTTTGGCACAAGCTTTGTCCATCCATGAGGATGACCTGACCTAACGTAAGTCAGACACTTTGCCACCTTGCTGCGAGGCATTTTGAGCTTCTTTGTGCATTATATACTTTGTACTGTGTTTGTTGATTGGCTCCCTCTCACCTGTGAAGGTGGTGAGGAGGAACTCATGTGGCTAGGGCTAGGAGAACCAACATGATTTGTTTGGTTTCTTGCTTCCTTATGGTTTTCTCTCCATGACTTTCTCTGAGTCCGAGCGGGCTACTTGACCCTGTATTGGGGCAATCCTGCTTTGTCGGCTTCTAATCTCCGAACACGATGAAATGCAGGCTTGTCCAGTTCCTTTCAGCGCCCCCCTCCTTCTTCCCATTCCACTGTCAGTATTTGTGGTGTTTTTCTTGGTGGTGTCGGGATAAGGCGTCATTGTCAGAACGTGGCAAACACGAACCACGGTTTTTTCCAACACTGGTTCTGAAAATGCTCTTGCGGCAGGCGAAAGCTCCAGGTTCCAACAGGGCACGGCCCGTGCTGGGACCTCCCCGACACACCCACCAGGTTGGTGAACAGAGTGGCAGAGTGGAAAGAGTCTTACTTTATTTAGTAGGCGCCTAGTTAGGAGCGTCCACTCTCTTCATTAATCAAGTAGACGCCTACTTAATTAAGGGCAGGCCAAAAAAGAAACAAACCAAGAATATGTTTGTGTCTTGAGTTTGCTTTGTTACGTTCAATTCGCTTAGCGGCTTAGCCTCTTGGATGCTTCAAACTCGAAAGACTTGCCATTTCAGATGGGTGCACCTGGAATGGCCAACCTGCCTATACCAGGTGCAGGCTTGGTCCGCTAAGTGGTTTACAGATATTACAGTGAGGAATTTGCAACCCGTTTTGAGGCCGAGGTGCTTTCAACTCCATTTCGCAGCCACCACCAGTCCCGGGTCACACATCTGGTATGCCACCCTTGCCTCCAGGCACACGAAATCTTGCAGAGTCTTTCCAAACCGAGCAAAAACAACAAAGACCCTACACCACTTAGACTCTAAGTGGAAAGCAAGGTTACCTGGTCGGCACTGAAAAGTTGTACCAGACCGGCAGGAGCCCCAGCTGAGTTGTCTGTCCCAGCGTTGTGTTTGAAGGAAAGGCAAATCATGCTTAACATTGGTCTTGCAATTGTTCTTGCAAACACGACAATTGTTCTTGGGGTAGACGAACTTTCAACGATTGAGTACTTGCGTCAACAGCTCATTCTCGCAGTATTATCCGACAAGGTCCTGGGATGGGACCCCATGGTGCCGCACCTGGAATGCTACCAAACCAAATGCCACCTCCCCCAGGACGTTGGGCATGAACGCCATGTCAGAGCTGTGGCAGCTATTCGACTGCCTGGACATTTGAGACATTCTGAGTTGCAGGACAACATCCGCTTCCGCCGGGACAGCCAGGAGATCAATGACATAAAAAAATAGATCCTTGCATTTACAGTAAAATGCCAAAGACAGAGAGAGAGAGGAACAAGAAGAAGAAGAATAATAACAAAAAAAATAATAATAAGAAGACGCAGAAGAAGAAGAAGGAGGAGAAGAAGAAGAAGACGAAGACGAAGACGATGGCACTTTAGATTTTGCAGAAAGCGAAGGCGCAATGGCAAAACAACCACCTGTCGACCCACTACTACAGCCAAGCTTGGAAACCCAGCTGTAAACAACAAATCTGAGATTGAAGAACAATATTCTTGTTTTGGATCAGTGTTCCTTGCCTCAAGCCGTCTTCACTGGCCAGGTAAGAAGAACATCACCGCAAATCCACCTCCGAAACACCTCACCTTCCTGGAATACCAGGAGAGAAGCCATCACACTGAACAAATGTAAAGTGAGTCAAGTACTGAATTGACGACGGTTGCCGATCGGACTTTGTGCCAGGAGATGAAACTTGAGCATGAGGTGCAGTCCGAAGAGGGCTAGTTGAGGGAGCGACATTGAAGTCACAGCTATGCAATTACCCTCTAGTCTAATGTTCACGAGAAAAGTGCTCAAGGTCCACGAGAAGCTGAGACGCGAGGCAGAAAGCGACAGTGATTAGTGTAGACATGTTGTTTCACTTGGACAGTTTGTAGGGCAAGCAGCTGCATGCGGCAAACACAGAGAGCCAAGAATGAAGATTGTACGATTTCAGTTGCGGAGATTTCAGTTGTTTGGAAATGAAGCTTGGAACTCGACAATTGTTATGGCTCAAACGCAGACGGTCCTGCCCAGAAGTGCAGGCAATGGCTTGTGCTTTTTTGAGAGACTGGCAAGAGCAAGACAACATGGTTGATCTCTCTGTAGGAGGTCTGCTGAAGGGCGTTTCACCTGGGGATGGCAGAGGACATACAGTGGAATCCGCTTCATTGCAATTCTTCATTGCAAGTAGCTTTAATGCGCGAGGAGCCGCGAGTAGATGCTGAAGATGAGGAGGCTGAAGGTGAACAAGCTGTGGTGGCCCCAAGCTAAATGCATTCGCTGATTTTGCTGCTCCGGATCTTCCCAACCTTTTCAACTTCTCCAAGGCTTTTGGCCTCAATTCAACTCTTGGCTTCAATGTTCACGGTATGTAGTCATTGTGGACTATTTTTCCTGTTGCTTCCTACACTTTCCCACTGTTGACCGATCCCAAATTTGTCAAGCGGATTTGTAGGAAGTAAAGGGCTTCTTTCCTACAAAGACATGGGGAGCTTCCTGTCTCTTGCAGACCTAGACAGCTGGAGAATTTGAGGATGGCACCTTGGATCCAGACCTACTTGCTGCCTGCATGAGGCTCTGGCCAGAGACATTGAACTCTTTGGCATCTACAGTTATTTGACTGGTGCCAATATGTCTTTGCACAGGAACGACACAGACGCTGCAAAAAGGCTGATTGAACAGGCGCAGATGCTGGGATGGAGGGAACTATGCAAAAATTGAGAGAAACGGATTGCCCAATCATAGAGCAGTTCATGAAATTGCATGCGTGCATTCATCGGCGGGCTTTCGGGTGTGCAATTGAGCTGATGCATGCAGGGTGCCAATCCTTGCTGTGAAGATCAACGTCAGCAGACAGCTGAGGGGCCAGATGTGTATGTATGTATGTGTGTGTGTGAATTTTCCTTTAGGGGCGGCGGGAGGAGCTTCCTTGAAGAAGCACGAGCTATCGTACTGGTATCTACTAGCTGCCTACCTCTAGCTACCTAGCTACCTCAGTAGCGCCAAGCAAAGACAAAAAAGAAAGACAACACAAAACAAACATAAAAAACGACATCTCAGGGGAAGGTGGATGACGCTTGCGCACCCAAAAAGTAAGACGCATCTCATGAGTCATGAATGAAGCTTCTCAGGTGGAGCCCTTTGATTTGGGCAGCATCGCATGGAAACGAGGAATGGAAGATGAAAGAGATGTGTTTGGCGTGTGTTTTGCTTGAAGAAGATGCCACATGAAGTCCACAGCCTGAAAGGTTAAAAGTGTGTTGTGTGTAGGGCGTAGGGAAAGTACAAACAGCTTTTGTGTGATAAGCTTCACTTCCACTGGATTGTTTGCGACAGGATCTCACGAGACTCCTCATAAAGCACAACGCCGCAGAGGCAAGTTGTACACATGTACAATCCTCTACAAAAAAGGCTTTGTCGGCATTCCAAAGACGGAGATGCTGGCAACAACTCAGCCTCTTGTACTCCACTGCAGCTGCTCAGTGTTGGCTGTAAGATCTCACAATAGGATTTTTCTGTGTTTACCATCTGATTTTTTGTTAAATATACTATAGTTGAATTGTGTGTATATAGACAGCACATATATAGTAATGATCACCAAGAACAATCATATGCACACAGACACGTATACGCACATGGTCACACCCAAGAGTGTGCCCGGCCTTGTATTTGCTTCATGCCCTGGTCGAATGACAATTGCCAATAGACACTTCTGCATTGTCTTGGATGACTGCAAGAAGCAATGAAGGTGTTCAACAAATAGGAAAAGCGTCCCACATGCCATGGATTCCTGCTTTGACTAGAATACACGATGACCTACAAAAATCCACCTACACAGCATCTTGTTTAACGTGGATGTTTACAAAAGCCTGGGTAGGCAGCCTTGTTTGGTGGAGTGCTTTTAGTAGGCTGACAAAGGAGGAAGTTTAAACCATACCAACTAACGAGGAATCAGTTTTTCCTAACCACATAAAGTTACATGCAGACGCTCCAGTGAAACGTTTATCGAGGAAGTTAGTTGAAAACTGCTTCCGTGTAAGTTCTGGAGAGTAATACCTTTCAGGCTGATTGTATGTGCATCTACAGTACTAGAAAACATTGAACACGATGGGAATGTAGACAAAGCCCTTCGCCCTTTTGTTTGGGCCGATAACGCCTGGACATGTTCAGGTATTCCCACCTTCTGAGACTGTACACTTTACAAATCCTCGTAGGTGTGGCTTCTAATTGTCAGTATTTATTTATTCTCAACCTCCTCAGCTAAGCTGCTCCTTCTTTCCGAAGCCTCACTGTTTCTTCTCACAAGCTTTGCGTACCTCAAGTTTCAACCTGTAAATTATTGTGAGGTCAAATGCACATTAGAAATTGAGCACCTTCCAAAAGAAGCAAGTTTGCAGTTTGCACTGCATCAAGTGCAATAACTCCACATCCCTTTCACAGTCTTACAGTTTCCTAATCGCATCCTTTCATTTGACTCTCTGTGACCTGTTTGCACCATTCAGTCATGTCTTTTTAATGGAGGCTCTAGGCTCATGACTTGCCCTTTGGCAGGTAACCGATTGTGTGAACTTTGTAGTTTCATTTTGAAAAGTAAGATCTGTTCTGTTCAGGTCTACAAGTACGATGAGAACACCAAGGTCTGCAACTTGAAACTCTTAGATCATTGTCGATTTGCCATGATCGGCTTCATTCGGTGCTGGCCAAGGTTAGGAAAAAGCACAGTCCTCTTCACTGGGCAGCATTCAAAGGTCATCTCAAGGTGACGAATGGCAAGCAGACTTGCTCCATGATGTTTTTGCAAAACTTTCAATCTTGTCTCTTGGCAGCTTGCACCACTTTTTTGCAACATTTGCTTGAACAATGCAGCAATTTCACTGAGTTGAGTACAGTATCGGTACACTAAGCAATTTTTCATTCACGGCCCAAGCTGTAGCTCATGGTCCCATTTTGTATCGGAATGAATGGACTATATAGATAGTTATATAAGTGCACTCGGCTGGGGTTTGGCCGCTTATGCTTGGCAAACGTATTTTAACGAGTAGTTTAAATTGCTTGGTCCGAAGCAGCCCATGATCACTTGCAATGGCTGCGTTTGTGGACCACTACGAGGCGCTTGGAAGTTTGGGCATGTGTTTGCTGCACTTGAATTGCTCGTTTGGCAGCATGCATCAAGACAATCTGCCATTCCCTTGCCCATTCTTCCAATGAACTTGCACAAACATGCAGCTAGAAATGCATTTTGCGGAGCCTGTTGCCGTAGTTGTACCCGTCAGGTGTTGGGCTGCGACCCTGCTGCCTCTCCTGCCGAACTCAAGCGTGTGCGCAAGCTTGTGACGAAGCATGAATTTCCAAACAGCTTTTTATAGAAGCAAAGTTTCTTGTAGCTTTTTCTTCACTTGGTGCCTGGAGGCTTACCATGAAAAGCTCCGCGAGTATCATCCCGACAAGCGGCCTGAGAGTCGAGGGGAGACAGGTGCCCGAGCTGCTTGGATTTATTGATGCTAATCGCTATTAGTCGCTCTAGTTCTATAGTCTTTTATTTTCCAAACAGTGTGGGCACACTGAGGGGTTCTTACGGTAGGTGAAAAGCAGCTGATGCTTAGATCGCTGAAGCGCGCGGGCGTGTGCGGCTAATTCGCTGCGATTTACAGTACATTCATGCCTCTCGACATCGTCCATGTGCATTTCGACATCGCAGGCTCGCTGAATCTGGGTGTCCGCGGCGGCGGGTGCTTCTAACGACTGCGCTCTCGTTGTGGTGCCGTGCACATTTTCGTAGGTGGTGGTGACTTTTCGTGGCAGGCGCAAGGGAAACCTCGTGTTTTGGTGCTCCAAAGTCGACTTTTCGTGACAGGTGCAAGGGATCGGAGCTGTTTCACTTCGAAGTGCAGTTTTTTGTGGCAGGTGCAGCACTTTGGACATGGTGGTGATCGTCGTGGAGCTCAGGTTTCGTGACACGTGCAGTGAATCGTGACTTTTGGACATGTGGCTCGTTTGCAGATTTCGTAGCAGGTGCAGCACTCTGTGACCCTTGATGTGCAGATTTCGTGGCAGGTGCAGCACTTTGTGACCCCCCCTTGAAGTGTAGATTTCGTGACAGGTACAGCACCTGGTGAAAACCTCGAAGTGCAGATTTCGTGGCAGGCACAGCACTTGGTGAACCTCGAAGTGCAGAT